CTCCAGTCCCCAGAGCAAAATCAATGCTTGCCACAAACAACATTGTTTGCATAAATTGTGATCAGACTGGTACCTGTGGCCTCATTCCTCACACATACAAAAATACTTACTAGGTGGAATATTCCCAGGGCTCATCTCCCAGGACCCAGCCAAGAGCCAGGCCAAAAAAAGGAGATTTTTTTTTTTCTGGAAATGAGCAGGATTGGAGCAACTTGAGCCAGCTGAGTTAATCCTTTCCTCACTGTGAGTGTATTCCTAGGCTACCTGATTCATCCCACGGCTGCAGGCTGTGCACCTTCAAGCACACCAAAGCCACCCTGCCAATCTCCTACTCCTTAACCTGTACGCTGTTTCTCGCTTCTGACTCCAGTTGACAATAAAAACAAAGCTTCCCACATCAGAAAGAGCTACACAAAACAAAGTGAGGATATCTGGGATTCCATTAGCTGATGAAACAGAGGCTTACTACACAGCGAGTTTAAGGCCCGTGGACGGCAAGTGGATAGCTGAAGGAGCATGGTCTCCGGCGTGAGCAAACGGAGGGCCCCACAGAGCCTGCTCACCTCGAGGTCGGGGGTATTGGTTCTCAGTGACTGCTATGAATGGTCAGACTGAACCCAAAAGATCTGATTTCCGGAAAAGCCACACAATAAAAATACCCAGTGTGAGCTCCAAATCCAGTGTTTTAATACATTGATGATCTGTGATTTCTATATCACAGAGCAATTTTATAAGACTCTCCTAAAAATGTTAAGCTCTGAAGACCCATAAAAAGCTAAATGACAAAAGTGGGCACATATATCTGTCACAAGTCAAAAACACAATGAGAATTTTGTGCTTAACAAAATCTTTGATGGAGGAGGGTTATCTGTATATTGTGTTATTTTCATTGGTCAATAAAGAGACTGCCTTGGCCCCTTGATAGGACAGAAAATTAGGTAGGCGGAGTAAACAGAACAGAATGCTGGGAAGAGGCCTATGAGGCAGACGCCATGGAGCCAGTCACCAGGTCAGACATGCTGAATCTTTCCCGGTAAGCCACTACCTCGTGGTGCTATACAGATTATTAGAAATGGGTTAATCAAGATGTGAGAGTTAGCCAGTAACTAACTCTCTAGAGATAATGGGCCAGGCAGTATTTAAATGAATACAACTTATGTGTTATTATTTCTGGGGCTAAGCTAGCCGTGCGGGAGCTGGGCAGGATGAAAAGCAGGCCGGCCCGCAGCCTCACTACAAATCTTGACTATTTTAATAAATTGTCCACTAATTTAATTTTTTAGTATTTATTAGTGTCAATGATAAGATACGGTCTTCAAGATTAAACCCACCTTGCATAATGAGACAGCTGAAGGTAAAAAAATAAATTCTGGACCATATAAAGTTGGGTCAGATTAATTTGAGAGAAAAAAATGTATGCCCTTTTCAAATGATAAAATACTTTTTCACTTAAACAAAAACAGTTACTTCTTGATGATGATCCTAAATCTGGATGCCTTTAAATAGCAAATGAGAAGTACAAGTATTTTCATTCATGTTTCTAAAGTTTTAAGCATAAAAATGGAGATTACTATTTCAAAAGAACCCTTAATAAGCAATAAATTAGAGCTATGCATATTCCCAAAGCACATAATCAGGAGCACAGAGGGCAACCATGGGAGAAATGCCTAGGGCCGTGTCTTAGAATAATCCAAATTTTAACAACTACAAGTGAAAAAAAAAGCTACTACTACTTTTAGTATCATCTGTAAAACAGAAAGGGGGGCTACTGTGAACTGTCTAACAATTACTTTTCACAAGAATATGCTATTATCTTCACCTACACAATTCACATGTGATATTACTGCTTATATATGGTAAATAGAAACAGCAGTGAACAGGCAGTACAACCACAGTCACCACCAACTTTAGAAGGCAACATCTGAATTCTTTTCTCTTATTATTTCCACTGAGTATCTATAAACAGTTTCAGAATCCACCACCATCATAAACATGCTTTAAAGACAAAAGCTCCCCCATAGCAACATGCCTCTCAGTTCCCCAAAGCTTCAGAGAGGAAAAATTCCACCAGGTTTCTGCAACTGAGCTTCGCAAACCACAGTCTTAATGTATTCAAGTATATAAAATTCTCTCCTGAGAATGTTTAACTTTAATTCAAATCCTCCATAACATAATAATATGTGTGTTTCCAGTAAAGCGGTGTCACTTAGAACCTCTTTGATGGTCAATGACTAATGGAGACAAGACCCATAACAGAATTAAAATATAAACACATTCATGTCCACGTGAGGACCAAATGATGTCACCCTTCCCAAACAAAAGGTTCACTGGTAGCTCAAAAAACTGAGTCATCACATTCACTGCATGGAAGTTAAAATCAAAAGAAGCTATAACACAGGTTAGTGTATGCATACTATAAACAGATAAACCTATCAAGTTATCATCTATAACATTAGGCTAACATAATTATTTGCACAGCATTATTTTGATCACAAATGCAGCACACCTGATGATTTATTTCACAAATACCATTTGGTATGAAGTATTTACTCATATTTCATCATATTCCTGCAGTGATAACACTGGAGTTAGCAATGGGGGTTCAAGAGAATCTCTGCAAGAGTAGGGTGCATGGCCTGAGTAAGAGCAAACAGCCATGCACCCAACACTTGCTATTGTTCTCAAAGGGTGCAGATGCCAACAGGGAAGCAGTTGAAGGTTCTTGACCTTGTACAGGAACAGCAGGCTGTAGAATTCCCTCACATTTGAGTCTCCAGAGTGTCTCCCTCAAAAGCTGATGACACTACAGCCCTACTACCGGCATACCAAGCAATAGAGGCTGCCCAGAAAGCAGTGGACAATGCCACTGGGGTTCCAAATGGCTAAATTTGATCAGGGACCACAAAAAGAAAAAAAAAGCAAAAACAAAAACAAAAAAAAAACACAACGCTTTACAGAAAAAAAAATCTAAACATTGAAATTTTTAATACTATGAAAAATTACAAAATATAAAATAAATTTTAAAAGGAAGGGAAACTTTGAACTATATGTACTTAGCAAATGCCAGGTCTAGCAAACAATGCTAGTCCTAGATTATTTGATTTAAAAAAATGGAAAAATACAAGAACAAATTAATGTTTTGTAGACCATAAAAAAGAATTTTCAGTACAGTACAAAAATTTAAAGCATCCCTTTCTTTGCACTTGTAATTCTTTAATGTGGAATCACATGAGCTGTCCATTCTGTGTTAAGTAACAGAACTGATAACTAAGCACAGAAACACAATTTGAATTATAAAATCCTTGCTCTAACAAAAATTCCTTAAAGGGTAAAAAAAAAAAAACAAGGGGAGGGACGTCAGTACCTTGAAGCAATACAAGAAACTGTTAGATTCCTGTTTTGTTTTTTTTTTTTTTTTTAAGGCAAGAGTCTTATTGTATAGCCTTGTGTGGCCTGGAATTCACTATGTAGACAAGGCTTGCCTTGAACTCACAAAAGATCCACTTAACTCTGCTTCCTAGGATTAAAGGCATATGCACCTCCTAATTCTATAATACACTGGTTGTTTGGAGTAGCATAAACCCTGGATTACTGGCCTAGGGAGAAGGATCTAGATTAGGGGCTGGCAGAGATGACTCATGCATCAGATTGCAGCCGTGCTCACGTTCTTCCAGGGTACAGATGCTGAGCACGTGCTGTTTCAGAGAACTCGACTCAAAACAAAGTCCTTTTCCTTACTCAGAAAGATAAATTATCTTAGCAAATTGCAAAACATCAGGCTATAATTGCTATTTAAAAAACAAGTTTTAAAAAGTGAATTTTTACATTTTACACAGGTTTAGGTCAAGCAACACTAAATTAATAAAATATGCAACTAATCTCAACTTCCCATTCAATTAATTAAGTATCACTTTGAAATAGTCTTTAAATTTTTCTATTCTACTTGAATAGGAACAATAAAAATTCAAATATGTCATTTTAAGCAACTACAAAACTTTAAAAGGAAACATTTCTCAAGCTAAACTTTGCAGTAGCTGATTTTAATCCAAACTGTTTTGAGTCATTAAAACATGTAGAAGGTACATATATGACATCTTCTCCCTGGCTTCCTGCTAGGCTATACAACTGAAAGGCTGCATGGTGGCTCACATAATTTGTATGAATGATTTCTGATACAAAGACCCAAGCTTTTAATTTCCCCAAAACAAATGAAAATTATAAAGTCTCAAGCAAGTTTTATCTCAAGTTAAATAGTTGCCTTGTCTGGATGAGGGAAACGGCTGAAACTGAAAAGCCTGGCATGCAACTCTAGCACTAAGACAAGGCAGGAAGGTCTGGGGGGAGGACAGCCAGGGCTGGACAGTAAGACTGTCTGGAAACAGCACTCTTCCTGAGGCTGTGGAACAAGTTCAGCCCTCCCACAGGCAGCAGAGTGGAGTGAACCTTAATACCTTAATCTGTGTCATCAACCGTGCACCTCAGATGTCACAATGCCCACAACAGAAAGCCATTCCAACAGCTCTCTTAAGGTTTTCTCATGGGCATTCCCATTAATGGTTGACCTCTGCCCACTGGAAGCAAACCAAAACAGTGCTAAACACAGTAACGTATGCACAAAGCCGATTTAATTTACAAAATCTACAAGATACCCTGCCTCTGCAAAGAACGTTCAAAGACACTGACCCAGGCAACTCAGTGAGTTGTACTGCTTCGTAGTAATCTCAGCATGACAGACGTGATACAAAACACCCAGAATGAGTGAAGAGTGAGAAGGAATAAAGAGAGTGGCGATGGAACCGTCAAACACTTAAATATGCCCCAGCGTCACATTAGAAAAAGGGGAAAGAATCTCAGCAGACAGAGTAATTTACAAAACCAGAGTTACCTGCTGTAGTAATCAAACTTTAAAAGGTCGCCTGCTTGCTAGTCTTCTCTAAGTTCATTACTCCATACTGTGAGACCATGACTTTACGAGAAAAGAAGGAAAAGGGGACACTTACTGGGAGTGAAAATGTCTCAGCCAGGTACTTCAATAAGGAAGCTTCTTTGGCCAAGAACTTATTCCTTTCCTTGATGTTGCCTTGAAGCTGCAGATCGAACTCCTTTCTGATCACAGACGCAACAGAGTCAACGATCACAAGCTTAACTCCTTTGGAAATAATCTCTTCCTCCAAAGATTCAAGCCTAAGAAAGTAGAATTTGTAAAATAGTGAACAAATTTAAGACACATATTTTATTTATTTGTCTTTCTTCTTAGAAGAAAGATGGAAGAAGATTGTATTAGGGTTGGAGAGAAAAGCTAACCACAGGATGGGCAAGCCGTAAATCCTGGCAGCTTCCAGGAGAAGGGAACTAGGGGAGAAGAGAGAACATCATGCTCTTTGAGTTAGGGTCTGCAAGCATCTGTGAGAAGCAGGGAGGGTCAGAGAAAACGGGGAGGAAGTCCAGAGTCTGAGAACAAACACGATTGGGATTTTGGTTGGTACCCAGTAAAGAGATAGAAAGTGGGGGAAGGGAAAAGCATGCTTTTGGAGTTGGAACTCAAGAAAACAAAAACAAACAACAACAAAAAAAGGCAGGTTTAACATTGAATATCTGCAAAGACTTAATTTTTAAAAACAGAGTCAAGGGACTGGAGAGATGGCTCAATGGTTAAGAATACTTGTTGCTCTTGCAGAGGATCAGGTTTGGCTGTCAGCACCCACAAGGTGGTTCACACCCATCTGAAACTCTAGTTCCAAGGGGTCCCACCCAAGCCCTCTGCTGACCTCCAAGGACATCAGGCATACAAGTGGTATACATACAAACATTGTGAGCAAACACTCATACACATAAAATATAAAATAAATAAGTCTAAAACAACAACCGTGTTTAAAAGGCTTATCAGCTTTGTAACAGTACGCCAGGTCTGGTGACAGAGATCTGTAGTCCTCACTACTCAGGAAGCTGAAGAAAGACGTTTGCAAGTTCAAGGCTGAACTGGGCTACAGGGAGAGTACAAAGCCAAACTGGGCAACGTAGTATGGCCCCGCCTCAAAGTAAAAAATTTAAAAAGGATTGAGAGGCAGCTCTTTGGTAGCACACTTGCCCCATACACACTGGGTCCTAGGCTCCATCCTAGTAACACACATACACACACTTCCCTAAGTCACACTGGTAACTATAAAAGGCAGCACATCTAACCTAGTTCAGTCCAGTATTGCTATTGTCTTGCATTCTTCTGAAAATAGGGACAGTGGTTCATGTTGTCCTACGATACTATAAAAGCTGTAATCTTAATGTAAAACTACTTGTGGTGGTCAGTCTCCAAAATGGCCCCCTCTTGTTCCCATTTCCTGGTATGTCACATCTTTGTATGAATACATCTCCCTGTGTGTCTATGCCCTCCCACCTGGTACAGGAGTTAGTCTGTGTGACAAAAGCTTTTGGCAACACAGTGGTGCTCTTGTTACAGAAAGTAGGCACAAAGACTACAGCTTTCACATGTAAGAAAGCAGGCCTTCCAACGGCGCAGGAGTGAGGCTGGAGAAACAGATGCCAGGCCCACTGAGCCAAGAGATGACTGTATTCCTGGACAAGAGTAGACCAGGAAAACTGGCTACGCCACTCCCAAATGCCCAACACCCAGAAAATACATATTTGCTGCTACATTTTGAGGCAATTTGCTAACAAAACACATAATTAATAATCACTTAGATTTGAAAATACTCATTTAAATGATTTTCTATGTTAAAGAAACATTCCAAAAATTACAACAAATAAAGAGTACAGAAATAATTATTTCATTAATTATAAGAATTAAAAGCTAAAAATAAAGAATATAAAAACCTTCAAAGCATTACTAAAATAACAAAATCTGGAACTGCCTACCTTTGTAGAACCCCCTCACAGGTGAGCTCCCGGTGAAGATGGACTTTGCTGCTCATCAGAAGCAATTTTTCTTCAGTGTTAAAATGGAGTGGAAAACGGGCTTCTGCGATCTCGAGCAGTCTGCGGAGAAAAGGGAGAAGAGTGAAAAAGGAAACACTGAGTACTGAAAGCCACACTGCTGAGTCTCCAGCACATTCTACACGGGAAATCCCTAAGACTTGCCGCACGTCAGGTGCAGGCCAAAGTCTGGAAACACACATGTCCTGGAACCCACGTGTCCTCTGTGCCTGTTCCCGAAGGGCAGCTCTCAGAACAGAAGCTAGCACGGCTTCTCCGTCTCACCCAACTTCCAACAAGCAACAATGTCTCCAAACTTTAATTTTCTGGAAATAATATGTTTACAAGTAACAGTTTTGTCTAACAGCTATATTAACATATTTGAAATTAGAAAAGGCTTTCAGTTCCTTGAATGAACAAAGTCTGTTTCAATAAATATAGTATATTATCCTAATGATAACTTAAATATAAGTTGGCATGTCTCATTCTGGAAAAATATGCTTTCTCAATTAAAATTTAGTGTTATCTAATAGTCTCTTGGTAAACAGAAAATTATTACGTAAACAAGTAAATGTTCTCCAGTTACTTCTCAATAAACAAAGAGTTATTTTCTAAATACTCAATTCAGACCCCAGGCAGGTCAAGTGAAAAGTGATAAATCAAAACAGAAATGACATCATCATTTAGCAGAATGAGGCATAAAGGGCATTACTAGAAATTACAAATGTATAGGTTTAAAAGTCAAAATCAAAACTCTTGGAGTGTAGCTGTACCCCAGTTACATCTGTCAGTCCTGCTTGGTCATCCAGGGGACCTGGAACAGGAACTGCAAACACCAAGCCATCCCATATTCTGTGTTCAAGTTAGAGACACAGAAGTACAAAAGATCAGTGTCCAAATAGTTAAAGGGTTCTGAGAAAAGACTGAGAACGTTAAGTAGATAAACAAAACAAGTCCCTTAAATATGCTATAATCAGAAGCAAGGGCGGAGGAGCCTAAAACAGAAAAGAGAAGAGAAAAATAGAGACAATCAACAACCTGTTAAGTTTATTTTCAGCAAGATGAAATATATATAAATTTGGTTCAATACCACAGAGGCATAGGGACTAACGGAAGGAGGCAGGACGGGAGGAAAACAGGCAGAAGCATAGGATTAATGGAAGGAGGGCAGGAAGTGAAGAAAACAGAGGCATAGGGACTAAAGGAAGGAGGGCAGGGAGGGAGGAAAACAGAGGCATAGGGACTAAAGGAAGGAGGGCAGGGAGGGAGGAAAACAGAGAAGAAATGATGTGCTATTGGCCGTGGAAGATGGGAAAGCTGTGAAGATTTATCAGAAACAAGTAATTATTATTATCATTATCATCATTATCATTATTATTATAATGCAACTATACAGTAAGTTCAGCACTCAGTCAGTGTATGGATAGGAGCTAGTGTTATTCACATTTGCTGTGCTGAACCATTTTCTATAGATTTATCCAAATGATTTTTATTTTAGGAAGCATTTTTTAAAATATAAGTAAAAGCTAAATATAAATGAAGTTTTCTCCATGCCTGGTTTTAATCCTAGTAGTCTCCTGTGACAGTCTTCTCCACAAGACCTTGTTTTCCAGAACAAGCAACAGAAAAACCTATCCTGTCCTCCAACATAATCACATTAAGTTTGAAAAGAGTGCCACCTACTGGATATCTTTTAATTAAAAGCATTCCTTTGAAAAGATTCACTTAAAATTCATTCATTCATTCAGGCATGGTGGTGCACATCTCTAATCCCAGCACCTCGGAGACAGGGGCAGGTGGATGGATATCTGTGAGTTCAAAGCCAGCCTGATCTACAGAGTGAGATCCAAGACAGCCAGGGCTACACAAAGAAAACTCTGTGTCGAACAAGAAAATCAAATCCGCTCATTCAGGATTTACTGAGGACCTATGTCGTGTTCCAGGCACTGCTGTAAGTTCTGAGCACGTGGCATTACAACATCCCACAAAGGAATGAGGACAGTATGGAGGAAGAAAGTTACATTCTCCCCGGGCTGGCTTGATTTATGTCAACTTGACACAAACTGTCGCCATCTGAGAGGAGGAAACCTCGATTGAGAAAATGTCTCCATATGATTGGGCTGTAGGCCAGCCTATAGAGCATTTTCTTAATTAGTGATTGATGGGGAGGGCCCAGCCTATTGTGGGTGGTGCCATCCCTGGCTGGTGATCTCGGGCTCCATAAGAAAGCAGGTTGAGCAAGCCATGGCAAGACAATAAGCAGCACCCTCCATGGCCTTTGAATCGGCTCCAGCCTCCAGGCTCTTGCCCTGTTTGAGGTCCTGTCCTGACTTCCTTTGATGATGAACAGTGCTGTAGAAGCATAAACCCAATAAGCCCTTTCCTCCCCAGCTTGCTCTTTGGTCATGTGTTTCATCTAAATAAGACACTCCGGAAGGAGAGAAAAGCAAATAAACATATCAGAGGCCAGTTCCAGTGCTCTAAAGAAAATTGAAGCAGGATGAGACGACAGAGGGGTGAAAGCAAGTGGTACTCCTTGCAGAGCTGTCCAGATGAGCAAGAGAACCAATAACAGAGATCTGCAGCAGAGAAGGTCCCTCGCGTCAGTGGCAAAAGTAAAAGGATAATACAGCTGGAACACAGCGGACAGGGGGAAGATGAACGGGGGAAAGCCAGAGAGCTAGCTAGCCAGAGATCAAGGTCCCCTCAGAGCCTCAGATCTGTGGTCATCTATTTGGAGTGTATTAAGAAAAACAAGACGTCTGGGAGCAGAACTGACACCATCAGGTTTCCTTGTCAAAGGTCCATCACCTTAACCATTCAGCCACCACATCCCACATAGGTTTCTTTAAAAATTAAAATAATAGTAATAATAATAATAATAATAATAAACAAAAGACTACTGTGTGGGTTAGTGCTAGAAAGCACTTGCGGTTCTTTCAAAAGATGAAATTCATTTCCCAATACTCATATGGTGGCTCAAAATCATCCTTCACTCCAGATCTAGGGGGCCTGCCACCTTCTTCTGGTCTCTGATATCAGGCACATACATGTTGCCTCTATATACATGCAGGCAAAACATTCATCACATAACATACAAAATAATAAATAAATCTCTTTTTTTAAAAAAAAAGTCTGCTCTAGAGTCTGGGGAGATGGCTCAGCATGCAGGAGTGCTTCTATACAAGCATGAGACCCTGAGTTCAAATCTCCACTATGGAGAGAGAGACAGATGGCTGAGGCTAGGCTATGTCCAAGTTCAGTGAGAAACCCTGCCCCAAAGGAATAGGGGAAAGAATGCTGTCCTCCATAAGTAGGCAGAAGCACGCGCACATGCGCGCATGCACACGCACACACACACACACACACACACACACACACAGTTTGCTCTAGATGTCAAATGGAGAAAAGGCTATATAGGAAGGGCAAGGATGAAAACAAGATGAGCTAGTACTGCAGTCCACTCAAAAAAAATGATGGTGACTTGACATAGGGAAATAACACCTCAGATAATCAGAAGTATTATAATTCAGAGGGAGAGAAGGAAGAATTTGATTACTTGGATGAATATCTAAAAGAATGGAGATTCGATCAGGATTTCAGTTATTGGTGTTCTTCCTGTATTCTACTTTTTATGGAGGACTCCACACTTCATCTTCATATACATCAATTTTCTACATATGTAAACATAATTATAACATGTTATTATGTCAAGTGACAAATGTATATGAATCTGGGGGTTGTGGGAAAGCTCAGAATATGAACCTATGACCCTTCTGCCAATCAAGAAGCTTGTTAAAATCATGAGATTGGATATCAGAGACTGAGGACAGAGAGAAGAGGAACAAGATTCCAAAACTGGGTTCTAGGGTTTTCCAAGACTTAGAAGATGAAAACTTGAGGATCCAGCAACACAGATGAAAGAAGTTGTCAGAAGATAGGAATCAAATCAAGAGAGACTGACTGTGCCAAGAACACAGCTAAAGGGAAGAACTGTTCAAAGAACAATCGACAGCAATGAACGTGCTACATGACTACACACATGGTGGAACCAAGATGGGGCTGGAACAGTTCCACTTCCTAGAGATGTCCCAGCCGACATACTGTCCACGGACAACACATTATTCAACAGGTTTATACTAATAATGATGTACAAAAACTTACTATGTTATCAGTAACGTAAAAGCACAGTATATACTATGTTATCAGTCACGTAAAATCACAGTATATACAACTATGCATAGTCTAAAACACTTGGTAATGGCAATGGACAGCTATGATGCTGGTTGTGTTTACTCCGCTAGCAATCACCATCACGGCATTTTTCAGTTCTGTAAAACACAATCGGGGCTGGAGAGATGGCTCAGAGGTTAAGAGCATTGCCTGCTCTTCCAAAGGTCCTGAGTTCAATTCCCAGCAACCACATGGCGGCTCACAACCATCTGTAATGGGGTCTGGTGCCCTCTTCTGGCGTGCAGGCGTACACACAGACAGAATATTGTATACATAATAAATAAATAAATATTTTTAAAAAAAACACAATGCAGCAGCTTCACGTTTGTTTGTGCTCACCATGTCTTGACTGCATACAGAAACCATATCTGTAAAGCACACACACTATGCAGTGTGTGTAAGTACACTCTAACAGAAACAGGATCAATCGTCTAGTGATACAGTTCTCAGATCATATCACCACCATTAAGCAACACATGGCTATGTTTTAAATACTACTAAGTTAAATAAAGTTTTGAAAATCAATTTCAATATAGGGCTAGGAGATAAAGCCAGTATGGAATGAATTAAAGACAAAATAATAGGGAGATTTTTACTTCTGAGCACAAAAGATTAACTGACTTGAGAATTGTACTGATAGCATCAACAACTAGAAAAGCAGACAAAATATCTGACATAACAGTTTCACACACTGAACAATAGTTCAAAACTGTGACCCTCATGAGAAAGGAAACTAATAGGAACCTGAAGTGTGTCCCAGGCTCACACCAGAGGCACTTTCCATTCTACAAAACAAAAAAAGGAAGCCAAACTGAGTCTGGTGGAACCTG